TATGATATGAGGTTTTGATTTGTCTCAAACCAGATCATGCATCATTGTTTTATGTGTTGAACTCAGATCATGTTTAATATTGCTTTTCTATATCTGAATCATGGTTTTCTCGAATGATTATACTATGCATGAAGGGCGGTGCTAGTGGGGACCAAGCCTGCTTCACTTCTAAACCCTCCTAGCATTGATTCTAGACCTATTTATATATGTCAGCATCATAAATTTTTGATACCTGATCAAACTAACCTCGATCATGTCTATCTATTAACTGCCAATCTAAATTTGAATGTCTTCTTTATCAACACCTATAATGTTAATGGAAGGTTCTTTGTGAAGGGAATGAGCATAGAGGGATTTATCTACTCAGTTGGTTAGTATTACTTTTATGAATTTGCTATGAGCCTTTTTTTAAATAATATTATTAAAAATATATTTTATATACTATTTTTGTTCGGAGTTGTCATTCTGGTGCTTCCAAAACCCCACCGTCCTTCTTATTTTTTTGCTAGCTATTACCAGGGGTGCAGCACCTATTATCCAAATCCAGGTCAAAACCTCTTCTACAAGCAATATTGGTAATATATTTGGATACATAGTATAGTGTAATGATTGTCTAATTAGGTTTATATGTTTACAAGGGGTTGAGGACAATTCAGAGAGTAATAGAATATTACATGTTGATCAATAAGATCCTCGTTTTTCTTTCTTTGAGTGGTGGTGCACTGGTATGTATTCATTTAACCTGGTTAAAAAAAAAAAAAAACTGTAACTTCTTAAAAAGTGTTAGATGAGGTTCCTATTTACGTTGTTAGTTAGGTCCATTTAATTTTGCTAGTGTAGCTAACACTGCCATCTCTATAGATTGAGAATGCTGCTGGCCAAAAGTGGCTCCAATGTTCCTCCATGGAGTGATGCCACCTTAAGGCGGGAGGGACTGTGTTGAATGTGTTACTGGCTGGCGATGTAAAAATAAAGGGATAAAAGCCTAAAAAAATAAAACTAATGCATCCATCATATGTAAGATTTTGTAAACTGCAATATGTAACATTTTTGTTTTTGAGTTTAGATACACTTTAAATGTGAATTGTAGAAGAGTTGGTGAATCATTAACAGAAACAAGATTACAGAAGGCAGCTTATATTTACCCTATTTGCGGGCGTATAAGACGGGTTTTGAGACCTTAAAACATCCTCAGAAAATCAGGGGTTAAATTAAAATAAAAAAATGTAAAACAAAATTATTTAAAAAACAGCAGCAACGCAGCAGTTGAAAATCAAATCAATAGGAAAAAATTGCAGAAAATTCAAAAATGGCTTGGCCAGCTGATTTGAAAAATGTTCCGGAGGGCTTGGCAGCGAAAGGGTTAAACATTATTTTGGGCTATACTCGTCTCATAAGACAAGTATAGCCCAAAACCTATATTTTAACACAAAAAGTAGGGGGTCGTCTTATACGCCGAGTCGTCTTATACGCCGGCAAATACGGTAGTTTGGTCTTTTGGTTCACGCAGCTGTATTTTGATTCCACTCGTTGGCTGTCCACCAACTTACATATTTAGGACACTGGATATCCAAATGGTATTTTTGAAGTAGCTGCTATGTAACTATTTGTATTACAATAAATTGTACAGAAGTAGCTATACTGGAAATGCACTATTATTCGATTCTATATTGATTTGTTCCTGTACATTTCTGCAGGAATTCCATTTCAGAACCCGTGAACCATCCTTCCTTCATCCTGCTGAAAATGTTTTAAAAATTGGCTTTATTTAGCTGCACAGAAAATGTTGAATATTTGAGTCTATATTTATAGTATAAAAACCTCTTTATATGAAGGTGTAAATAAATCCTATTTTATTTCTACAATGAAGTAGTCATTTAGATGTTATACTTCTCTTTAATGTATGTATGCCTGACTAAAGATAATAGAGGAATGGCACATGAATTCACATGCAGAGTATCGGGGGTGTTGGTATAAAACAAAGGTGTGAAGGAGATCGCCCAGTTGACAAATATATTTAGCATTTCCTATGCTAGAGACACAAGCAGATCCTCCACACAAAGGAAATGTAAATGTGAACAGTCAGCATGATACAAGAATGGGGATTTAACGCAGAATGCGGGAGTAGTAACACCCTCACTGCCGTCCCCAGATTCCACTGGACACCAGGTCAGTTCATTTATTTTATTCTCAGCACTTGTGTTTGATAATGTTGAGGGTTTCTTTTTCTGCATTGGTCAGGGAACCGAGTATTGGCTTTAAGGATGCACCAATACCGATACTCGGTATCGGTGCCGATGTTGAGTATTTGGGCGAGTACTCATACTCACCCAAATGCTCCGATGCCTAGCCCGATACTTCCGGTATCAGGAAGTCGGGTAGCGTGTCATTACATGCTGCCCAGCTTCCTGATTGGCCGGGAAGCCGACTCCATGCTCTCTGACGAGATGGGCATAGAGCCAGCTTCCTGGCCAACCAGGAAGCTGGGCAGCGTGTAATGACGTGGCACCCGGCTTTCTGATTGGTCGGGAAGCCAGCTTCATACTCCCTCGTCACCTCTTGATGAGAAAGCATAGAGCCAGCTTCCCGGCCAATCAGGAAGCTGGACACCGCGTCATTACACAGCGCCTGGATTCGGGATTGGACAGAAAGCCGACTCCATGCTTTATCATCATCTAGTGACAAGAAACATGGGGACGGCTTCCCTGCTAATCGGGAAGCCGGGTGGCGGATCTTTATACTGCTGCCCAGCTAATCAGGAAGCCAGGTGGCAAGTCATTACACGCCACCTGGCTTCCTGAATGGGTCTTCCAGTATTCGGTATCGGCAAGCACCGAAAAAAATGATCAGTACTCTAACCGAAATACCGGTATCGGTGCATCCCTAATTGGCTTTCCCTCCCCCTTTTCCCCTATTATCTGCCCTTCCTGTGCCTCTTGCTATTGTCTCCTGGCCCCCCTTTCTGTTAATACATTGGATTGGCATTAGGATTTTTAGCAGAGCTATACATTTGGGGCCCTCTCTTGGCTACATATCCATTATATTTTGTATCTTTATGTTTGGGATGCCTTTTATAACCTCATTTTGTTGAGCTCTCAGGACATGGGTATGATATTCCCATATCTTCTTCCGTCATCAGTTGTTACAGCGCTTTACCATATGGGCCTCCGTTACTTTGTGTCCACTATTAGTAGTTTAATATATAATGTAAAATCTGACCTGCACATGTCACACACACACTAATATATCTATCTATATCTAGTATTTGTCCTTACTTCTAGACACCTATGCAATTGTGTCCCTCTAGCTCTGGTGTTTTTTTGCAGTGCCCCCTCATGTGGTCCCCCCCCAGCACAGGAAGTATTGTCTGCTTTCCATTGTTCGGTGCCCTTATTGGAGCAGTGTAAGCAAATCTAAGGTTCACATGCCACAATAACATTATATTGCATGTCAAGATAGTATTATTCATGTATTGATTCGTGTTTCTCTGAAGCTGATTCACCATTTTCCCCTTAGCTTAGTGAATGAGATGAAGTTTTGCTGATGTCAATCATCCAATACTGTGCAAGCAAAAATATAATTTTTCACTTTTATTTGTAATTTAGTTTTTGACGAGCTGAGCTCTTTAAAGAAAAAGGCAGCACACAAAAAAGGAAACAAGAGCTTCACCTGCTGGCTGCATAGAAGTTGTTGCAATTAATTACAATGAAAATAGATATTTAGAAAAATACACATTTTCCTTTAGACTGTAAGCACTCGGGCAGGGCCCTCATTACCATTTGTCTTGGACTGTATCTGTAATGTCTTCTTTATATAGTCAAGTGCTGCACAAACTGTGGGCACTATATAAATCCTGAATAATAATAATGCAAAGACACGCTGATAGGGTAATTGTTTCCTCTCTAAATTGTCCATGTAGGTATGCATGTGAGATAGGGACCTTAGATTGTAAGCTCCTCGAGGGCAGGGACTGATGTGAATGGGCAACTATGTAAAGCGCTGAGGACATTGTCGGCACCATATAAAATACTACTAATAAAAAATAATACATTTTCATTTTGACTATAATAAGTAACATGTATTACACATTCCTTTAAAAAGCATAAAGAGAATGTACAATGGTACCTCGGTTCACGAACACGTCTGTTCGCGAACAATTCGGTTCGCGAACAGGAAGTTCGGCAAATTTTTGCTTCCGTTCACAAACTCTGCATCGGGCGATGAACACAACCGCAGCCATCTTCCCTGCTCTAACACATGGTCGTGGCTTCCTCTAGTCGAGATGTAGTAGATCCCATCGCACTCCTGACCGGATAAAGCCCAAACGAAAACTGGGGGGGTGCCGAAAGTGATCGCGAATGCCTCCACACATCAAATGCAAAATACCATAAAGTCACTCGCACTCTGTTTGTAGATAGCAGCCAATCTTCTTTATTGACTGAACATGACAAAGCAAACTTTGTGTATGTGACATGTTCAGTCAATAAAGGAGATTGGCTGCTATCTACAAATGGAGTATGAGTGACCTTATGGTATTCTCCTCTAGTCGAGATCGCGCTCTGAGCACAGTTTGATTCAGTTTGCGACCAGAATTGTGGAACAAATTAAGTTTGTGAAGAGAGGTACAACTGTGTATTGGCTTTCCGCATATATTTATGTAACAGTGTCAGCCAAATGATCAGACAATTGGTAATGTACAATTTAGTATTTACTTAGTAAAAGGAATTTAAACATGAATTGCCTGGCAGGAAGTTCAGGGAAGCTGAGCTGAGACTTGGAAGGAGCTGTAAAGAAACATGATGATTGTAAGCATTTTTACAAAAATGTAAAGCAATTCTTTGCTGGGCAATGTAGGTTTCTTTTGATCTGGATTCATTATTTAATTTTTTTTAGAGTTTAAGTACTTTCCACGTTCAGAGCATCCAAACAACTTGCGTTTACTGGTGGATCTTCTGGTGACTGTTAAGACCTCCCTTTTGTGCAAAGCCCTTGTCACAAACTGGGCATTTAAATGGTTTCTCTCCAGTGTGAGTCCTCAAGTGACCAGTAAGCTGCGTCTTCAACCTGAAACATCTGCCACATTCTGAGCACCTGTACGGTCTTTCTCCTGTGTGGATCCTCTGGTGTTCCTCAAGTTTTCTCTTTTGTGAGAAGCAGTTGTCACATTCTGAACACCTGTATGGTCTCTCTCCTGTGTGCACCCTCTGGTGTTCCTCAAGTCTTAACTTTTGGGTGAAGCACTTGTCACATTCTAAACATTTAATTAGATTCTCTCCTGTGTGGAACCTCTCATGTTCAACAAGATTTCCCTTAGTTGTGAAGCTCTTATAACATTCTGAGCATTTAAATGGTCTCTCTCCAGTGTGACATACCTGGTGTCTCATAAAATTTGACCTCGATGTAAAACCCTTTTCACATTCAGAACACTTAAATGGCTTCTCTCCAGTATGACTCATTTGGTGTTGAGTAAGATTTTCCTTCGATGTAAAACCTTTTTCACATTCAGAACACTTAAATGGCTTCTCTCCAGTGTGACTCATCTCATGTTGAATAAAATTTGCCTTAAATGAAAAACTCTTGTCACACTCAGAGCACTTAAATGGCTTCTCTCCAGTGTGACTCATCTGGTGTTGAATAAAATTAGCTTTATATGAAAAACTCTTGTTACATTCAGAGCACTTATATGGTTTCTCTCTTGTAGGTCTCCCCCTGTGTTCAGTAAGATGTGTCTCCTGTTTTAAGCTCTCCACAAATGGTTTCTCCTCATTAGGAATCATCTGGTGAACTATTAGAAATGTGTTTGTAATGAAAATGTTCTGATACTCCAAAGTCTCATGTGTCATGTCTCCTCTGAGTTCCATTATGTGCTAAAGTATACAGACTTAGTAGTAGTATGATTTCAGACTGCTTACAACCAAAATACTAGAATTCTGGTGGATTCCTGAAAAACATAGAAATAAATTATTAAAGAATTGTAGAACAACAACAAATAAAGGCTGACCTCAGAATTTATTACATTCTGGAGTTTTACACCAGAAATGTATGTTTTCAGACAGTTTGCAGTTGAAATGATTAGACAGGAAATATAAACATTAAAGTTAAAAACAACAAAGCGCCACCTCCTTGTGTGAAATCTTTTTTTAATTGAATAATAAAAACGATTACAAGTTCTGACAATTGTAAATTTTTGTCACGCTTGTTAATAAGAAGCCACAAGATCCGTGTCTAAGAAATGTTCCACTCCGACTGCGTATAGAAATCTGCCTCCGGTCACATCACCATCGTGCCACCAGCCGTTTTAGGTTGGATTTACGTGTTTCATGGGCACGCCCCTTCCTCAGCATCGCCTCACTCATTGGGTCCCATGTATGACAGCACATGAGATGGTAGATGAGAGCAGGCACACCATGGATCCAATAGGAGCCCCAAAATGGGATTGCAATCACTCTACAAGAGTGTGTCAGGGAGTCGGGACTCACCTACAAAGGACTTTCTAAGGAACAGCTGGTCAGGATATTTGGCGGATGCCGGGCGGCAGGAAGAGCCGGGCTTCAAAATTGTTCAGTCACAACCCAGGGAAGATGTGCCAGGGCTCCCTGGTCCAGCCAGTAGGAGCCCGTAGGTTTCTGGTATGAGGAAGGGATGGTCATTCTGGGGGCAGATGCTATAACAGTGAAGAAATTTGCGGCAATTGAGAAGACGTAAAAGAGGCGGCAAGATTGGGAAGTTGCAAACAACCATGCAGCTGTCTCTATGCCAACACCTTTAGTAAGCGAGGCCCCAAAACTGCCCGCAGAGACTTTAAAGCCTTCATGGAAAATATTGAAGGAATGGAAAGCACCCATGCAGCTGTCCCTGTGTCAGCGTTTACAGTAAGTGAGGCCTCAAGGCTTCCCGCAGAGACTTTAAACCCATCAAGGAAAATAATGTGGAAAGGTTCTTCTTGGATTTTGAGAATCAGTGTGAACTGCTGTGTGAACACCCATGGACTGGACCCATAACATGGTGGGGCTTACCAGATGATGCTGCTGATGAAGTCTACCAAATACTGGGCCATTGAAAAGGAATTAAAATGATATTCAGTGGGCAGTGCTGGGCTAATATGCAGTGGCACCAGATGCCTATCATGCTCAGGAGCACACCCCATCTTCATAATTTTTCAGGCCTAAAATGTGGAATATAACATGGGTACAAAAAATGAAAAAAAGGCCTCAGTCATGAAGGGGTTAAAATGTATGAGCCCAAAATATCTTGTATGCTTGTAGGGGAAATGTGATCTCACTGAACAAATTATCCCGGTTATTTTAAACGAATAGTTCTGCCAGAAAATGCCCCTCTGACATTCAACAGTGGCTGTGGGAGCAGAAACCAGCCACCTTGGATGAAGCTACAGCCTTAGAGGATGAGGCCCTGATCACCAATCCCCAATACAAAAAAGTTGCTGTTCAGGGTTCTCTATCAGTATTTTTGCCTCTCTCTCCACACAGTATATGCCCCACACATCAAAGAATGAGTCATCTACCAGCGCCTCCCTCTCTACTGCTGGACCGGCAGCCCACTTATTTCTGCTCCCCCACCACAATCCTCAAGGCCTAACTCAGACACAAACTGCTTTGGCTATGGCAACAGGGACACTATCAGGCTAGTTGTCTGAATAAAGCTGACCATAGACTATGCAAATTTTGGCCAGTTTTCGATGAACAGGCCCAAATTCACACAGCAGATGCTGCTGTGGGCATTCTTCCGGCCAGCAAGCCTGTCAGAACGTTTTTAATTTATGAAAAAAGGCAGAGACCTGGAATTAAGGAGATTCCCTACTAATTTTCACAAATCAACTGATAAGCCAAGTTCTTTATTTGCGCTAATTTGAAAATGAAATAAAAAGCAATAATGTTATCACATACCTGAGGGGAGACTTGTGAGGAGGCTTGTGTGAGGAGGCTTCCCTTGCACCGCGTGTCCTGAGGCCTCTGGAAGTGGAGACAGAGACCTGGCGGACAGCGAGTGGTGCAGGCGACAGTGGTGTTGAAACTGTGCAAGCAGAAGGTTGCTTCTGTAGCTGAGCAGGGGTAATGCGGAAATCAGGGTCAAAGCAAGCCGAGGTCAAACCAGGAGAGCGTAGAAGGTACAGAGGGATCGAGCAAAAGAGAAGTCCAGTATTCAGTCCAAGGTCAGTGGCGGGCAGCTTTCAAGAGTAGTCGAGGCAAGGTATCGGGTCACAATCCAGGAGACAGGCAGTTCACAGGGACAGGTAATCGCAGGATACAGAAACACGGGGAGGGGCTGAAGACAATCCAGCAATCTGTAGGTCTGCAGGCCGGGTTTAAATAGGGAAGTAATCCTGATTAAGTGCGTCATTTCCGGTGCGCCATCTTCTGTGTTTGTCTGTGCGTTACGCGCATGCACGTAAGTGTTCTACGAACAGCACGGAAACCTGGATTTGGCGCATGCGCAGGAGGTGAGTGTTGCTGACAATGTGCAAATATAGCCAGATCGCATGTATGCTGCATGTCTCCGTGCGCCCTCTCCTTACCTCTCCTAGTGGTCGCCGTTCCCACCATCCCGGGCGTCCGATCCGGGATGGGTGATGTGGCTCCGTGCACGGAGAACGAAGGGAGACCAGTACTCGATCTCCCTCCACTCTCCTCCCCGGTCTCTGAAGGCAGGAAGTGATGTTTACTACATCACTTCCGCATTCTTCTGTCACTCTCCGGTACAGAAACCGGAGAGAAGCTGATGAAGCAGACCACTGATGTATCTATAAAGGGGACCTGTCACTGTAATTTGATATCACATAGGGGGATTCTTATTCCCATGTGATAACAATAAAGTTATGTGTACAAAAAAAAATTGGTCACAAAATAAATAAAATTTTCACACAAAAACCCCACAAAAATGTTTTAAAGTCCCCCACCCCCACATGCATGCGCAAAAATGCGTTAGGTGCGCCTACACACAAATACGATGATTGCGTCAATTACACAACACTTGTTACATATCACCGTGAACGTCGCAGTGAGAGCAACAATTCTAGGGCCATCAATCACTGATACCACTAAACCGATGAGTGGTAAAATCTTTTAAAGTGACATTAAACCCTCAGATTTTTTAACATAAAACAATAGTGTAATGCAGGGGTAGCCAAACTCCGGCCCTCCAGCTGTGGTGGAACTACATATCCCATGAGGCATTGCAAGATTCTCACAGCCACATACATGACTCCCGGAGAGAGATGTATCATGGGATTTGTAGTTTCACCACAGCTGGAGGGCCGGAGTTTGGCTACCCCTGGTGTAATGTGTGCCTTACTGTAATCCATGGTTGTTTCCCTTCTCTTTGCTGCTCTTCCTTTTAAATCTGTATCTCTTCTCATGCTGGGGGAGAACTTCTGTTTTGCAGCAGACTGCCTTGTCTCAGGTATGGATATATGGTGTCTGTGTGTAGGTCTGTGTGTAGGTTCACAACCTGAGCCAGCACTACAGGAAGAGGCACTCAGCTGCAAAGGGAAGTTCTCCACAAGCATTGAAAGACATGAGGATTTAAAAGGAAGAGCAGCAAAGAGAAGGGAAACTACCATGGATTACAGTAAGACGCAGATTACAGTATTGTTTTAGGTTAAAAAATCTGAGGGTTTAATGTCACTTTAAAGCGTCGCATATGGCCAATTTTGGCTATGGTAGTTTTTTGCAAATTCGCGGGCACATGCAATTTTAAGGCTTCACGTTTTTGGTGTCTATTTACCCGACTTGACCCCAGTGGTGATTAAATACCACCAAAAGAAAGCTCTATCTGTCCCTAAAAAATTGTATAAAAGTAATTTCAGGACAGCGTTGCACCACAGAATAAATGTCAAATTACCGCAGCGCTGAATACTGAAAAATGGTCGGGCCAGGTCAGCGGTGTGACGAGTCCAAAGATCAGTAACAACGCACAGTACAGAAGTCAGTGGTGCAATGCAGAATACAGAGGCCAGCTGTGTGACGCGCAGTGCAGAGGTCAGCAATGTGACGCGCAGTGCAGAGGTCAGCAATGTGACGCACAGTACAGAGGTCAGCAATGTGACGCACAGTACAGAGGTCAGCAATGTGACGCACAGTAGAGAGGTCAGCAATGTGACGCACAGTAGAGGTCAGGGTGTGACACACAGTACAGAGGTCAGGGTGTGACGCACAGTACAGAGGTCAGGGTTATAACGTGGTGGATTAGTCTGGCCTAGGGGCGGACTGGCCCCGGGGGCAGGATGGCAATTGCCCTCCAAGCCTCTCTGATACCTTTGCAAATGCCCACCACCGCCGCCATAAGCATTTAATCTCTCACAGTCTAGGCCGCTCTGCTGCTGCAGTGGCCAAGAGGGGAGAGAATAAGTGCTTGCGGCAGCGGGGGGTGTTTGCAAAGGTATCAGAGAGGCCAGGGGGGCAATTGCCGCCCTGTCCCCGGGTCAGACTAATCCAGCACGTTATTAACATGAGTGCCCCACTCAATATGGCCGCAAGCGAGGGGCATACTGAGTGGGGCAACTCAGATTAATAACGTCCAAAA